TGGAGCAACTACATGAAAAACTTTCGTTTCTCGTCACAAATCAAAGCCGTCATGTACCCAGAATGCATCGCTTCAGTTTTCTAATAAACAGTTTTAAARTTGCTTYATTGATGCTTCTTTAATGAAAAATCTACAACAAACAAAAGAAAAAGACAAAGAATCAGCCAAACTAGCAATCCTCAACAACCTTTTAATTTTTACACCAGGAGCCAAAGTTCTGTTTCAGGAAATCACATCCCGAGCATTCGGTGCTTGTAGGATTAAGTTGTACAAGGGTTCAAACACCACTAGTTGGCAGTGTAGTGTATGTATTGTACATGACTTGTTGCCAGCTAATAAATGTCAAATTGAACTTGCATTTTAAGATTAGCTTCCGCTAATTTGCAATGGCATTAGCATTTTTGAAGTTGCGGATCTAAATATTTTCACGAGCGCTTTAGAAATGCAGAGCTAATTTTTGGGTTAGTGCTGCCCATCACTGACCTGTAGTGTCCTGAGGCAGCCAGGCAGAGGAGCAAAAATGACCATTTGGGACTAGTGCCGCCTTTTGGCATCAGCTTCTCCTCTGGACTAAGTCTCCAARCTAAGCTTCCTCATCACAGAGCACACATACTCACCTGGGTGGGAAAGAAGCGGAAGGAGGTTCTTAAAGAGACAGAGGCCGAWTTCAAGRCTTTTAGAAACAGATATGATGATAAGTCAAGTTTATTTTCTATTTAAACATATAAACAACATTTTAATAACAACTGAAAGTGACATAGTTACATTATTATGGTATAGAATTTAACTATATGCATGAGACACATAATATTCCCCCTTTAAAGTAAACAATATAAAATGCCATTTTTGTGGAAAAAATTGTTTGGTTTGATTAGGTTTTGCATGCATCTGTACACATTGTTCATAGTAATAATACCTTTACCCTTCCCATGTCAGAAAACCAAGACACAGAACTACTGAGCTTAATCAGTTTTGCAAAAGACAGCCTGAACTGCAATTACCTAAAGCTAGTCAACTATGTAATATACGGAAGAGGATTAGGGCCACTGAAAAAGAAATACTGACTTGAATCTCAAAATTCTGAGAAAAAAAAAACAGAATTCTGACTTTTTCTCAAAATAAGGAAAAAGTCAGAATTCT